AGATGTGTATATCGACAATATACAGTAGGCTGCACAAAGATGTAGGCCTATACTGATATTAAATAAGGAAGTGGATATATTTACGTCATCGTAATCAAAACAGTAAACGATATATTTACGTAGATGAAACGACGCATGCCAGTCATACTTAAACAACTAGCATTTTCAGCACTCGATATTAGCGTGGCCTTCCAAGCCGCGGTGATTCCCCCAAGTTCGGCATGGCACAATTAATTTATAATTTTGTTTTTTATTTTTTCATTAAACGTAATTTAACTTTCTACAATAGCACAGTATGTAGTTTAATCACTAAATAAATTATTACAGTAAATCAAGTGTTAAATTTTCAAATAAAAGTGATACTGTATTATGAGCTGGAAATGTTATGTTCATCTTACTCAATCATTTGTTGAGTTCTGTATCCATACTTCGTAGACACATGCACATCATTGCCAATGTTGCTTTGTTAGTGATTAGACTACTTGGAAAAATATGTTTGAATAAAACATTAAAAATATTTGTTTTGTCTTACCAGGGAGAAGTATTTTATGTATGTTTTACATCTCCCTGGTTTCACTTTTTTCGTAGTGATTCAATATCTTACAGAAAATACACGATTATTCGTTGTTTACTTCTTGCTTCACATAGCGTACAGTACTTTTTAGAGTAAATCATGTGCTCACCAAACATGGTCTTCCTGTATGTTCTTTGTGATCGATTGGGGCTCGATGCTTGACCCGTCTGAAGACTATATAACAATGTGGTTTTTGTTAGTGACAACGTGGGTAAATTTGTTTGAATGAAAACATTAGGGTGTTATTTAATTTGTGATGATTGACTATCATATAACAATACTGGTAGGCCTAGAAGAATATTGTCTTGATTCCTGGTAATTAAGTTTTCGCAATGAAACATTGCATAGGCCTAGGCCTTGTATTTACGTCAAGTGTGTTCATTTAACAAATGATTGAGTAAGATGAACATAACATTTCCAGCTCATAATACAGTATCACTTTTATTTGAAAATTTAACACAATGATTTAATCATTTATTTAGTGATTAAACTACATACTGTGCTGTTGTAGAAAATTAAATTACGTTTAATAAAAAATAAAAAACAAAATTATAAATTAATTTAAAGTGCCATACTGAACTTGGGGGAATCAAAGCGGCCATGGGAGGCCACGCTAATAATACTGAGTGCTGAAAATGCAAGTTTGTTAAAGTATGACTGCGCATACGTTGTTTCATTTACGTAAATATATCGTTTACTGATTTGTTTACGACAACGTAAATATATCCACTTCCCATTAAAAAAAGTGTAGTATTTTATGTTTGAGAAAGAGGAAACAGCTTTGAATTGTAATGCACTCCATCATGTGGGAATTCAATATTTTGACAATGACATTATGTCCTGGTGTATATGTGGACTCATATATGGACAGCCTAGGCCCCCTATGCTTGGTGGTGGGAAGGGCTTGCCAGCCAGGTCCCCTATACTAAAGTTACATCACAAAGTCTAGGCTATTCACAATGACATTAGTTAGGTAGACAGGGCCTAGCCTATACACCGGCGAAAAATATAAGACAAAAACGTAAGATATGCCTTGGCTTATGCCCCTATAGCCAGAGAGTTAACTAGCGATCCAACGCTAGTTCAAGAAACTAGGCTAGCATACGCTTAAACAAGAAGGCCTACCTAGGCCTACGTATCTAGGCCTAGGCCCAGGGAATGCAATGGTTTTGGCCGCGAATTAGGCCTAGCACAGTAGTATTATAGTTGGGGAATTCAACAACAGTTATACACAAGTATAAATTACTTACTTTTACTTCACTATGACTTGGCAAATTTTCTTAGGCCTATGAATCTTCCTTCCTTTACACTCGCTACAAGGCGACGGCACTAGAATGGGCGCTTCGTTTGTGAATTCAAAACTTGAAACGGGACACCGGAACTGCCAAGACAGCTAGTTCATTGGCTTAAGTCCGATGGTCCGATCATCGCTAGCTAGCTTCATTCAAACTGGTATCTCTACTGAGCATGCGCACACACTTATTAAGTAAAAAGTACCGCAATGGAGCATTCATGTCATAACTGTAGCTACGTATAACGTCTTAAAAATAAAGTATAATTAACAGTTGGTCAAAGGGGAATCCAGGGCATAATTATCTGCCCAGGTATGTGGCATGTGGGGCCCATGTACAATGAACATAAGAATGGCCATGCATTTTCCCAGATATTTGGCACATGGGCCCCATGTGGCGTACATATTCCTACAGCTATCTGCCCAGTTACTTTGGCATATGGGGCTATATATGTAGAGTAAACACAGGAACAAATATTATTTCCTATATATTTGACACATTAGGGCCTATGGGAATTTGGCATATAGGAATTTGGCATATTGGACCCATGTAGATTGCACATGGACATGAATTTTCCCAGATATTTGGTATATGGGTCACATGTAGATTAAATGTGGCCATTCCCAAGGTTATCTTCCCTTTATTTGGCATATGTAAATGTGTAAATTAAACACTAGCTTAAGCCCATGTATTTCCCCAGCTATTAACACATGGGCCACATGTGGAGTAAATGCGGGTATTATTTCCATAACTATCCGCCCAGTTATTCGGCATATGGGGTCCGTGTAGATTGAACAAGAGCATGTCCGTATTTATTTTCCCAGATATTTGGCACATGGGCTCCGTGTAGATTAA